CGCTCATGATACAAACTTTTTCAGAAAGTAGCAATTTGGTCAATTAGTCCACTAAACATAATGTATTTAATTATTAAAACAATTGAACAAGTACAGACGTACAGACAAACTCAATGACTTTACACATAAAAACTCATAAAAAAAATTCCACGTAATTTTTCCTATATCTGAAACAAATTACAAAGAAAATGCAAGGAACTATTTTATTTTATCTAGGCAATTAAATTGTTTACGCATCATTGAACTGAACTAAATAAAAGTGATTGACCACATTATAAGAAATGTCCATACTTATTAATTATTAAAAAGTAATCGTTAACAAAGGATAGAGCGACTGTCGGGATGTGAATTGCGCCTTTTAATGAATCAGAATCCCATGAATTGAATAACTGATAATTGCATTTTCTGCAATGGGATTGTTACATATTAGTACCACTAAATCGTATAAAGAGAAACAGTTAGTTTTTTTGTTTAAATAAATTCGTAGTCAAAGAATCACCTCATACCAACGGGTTACAAATATAAATATATATATATATATATAATAAATATGATTTTCGACTAGATGAAGAAAAAAACCGTGAACAAACTCTCCCCATCTAAAATCAGACAGGTAGAAAACAAACGAACAGCTCGCATGGGCAGGCAAAGAAATAATCTAATATGACTAATGATTGAAATGCTGTCAGCAACAATTTAATCTCAGCAATACAGAAAGTACGAAAACACTACTACTTAGACGTTCCACGCCTTTGCTGTCTACGAGTTCGATGATATAAATTATCATAGTTTCACTCTTCAAAAGAGGGTTTAATTAATGAACGAAATGACGCTAAATGAAACGGAATTATTATCGGAATAACGATATTACAGCAGATTCTCCCCGATAAACTAGCAATTATATTAATAACTAATGAATGATATTTTTTCGAGTATTAATTGATAGCAGTTTGACCGATATTTATATAGCTTTTAAATTGAGTTCCAATTGTCCAACCTTAATTCACCAAGGCGTGGACAAATCAACTTCGCAAAGGCAAAACGGTATAATGAGTACATGGAAAACTGTCATCCTAAATCGCGTCCTACAGACAAAGGGTCTGCAAGGGTAGACCTACATGGTTGTACACTGTTTAGAAATTAATTTATGAAATTCTTTTTACAAAATATTAAATGTTTGATATAATTTTTGTAGATTGTCAGATAACACAACTAAACGTCATTTTTAAGAGATGATATTTGTACTTACGTTGTTGTTCTGTAAAATTGAAAATTCGAGAAACCGGCCATGAAATCTTTTCATATGAACGTATTCAAGTAAATAATAATAGTGATTCAGCGTATTAAAATTTTAATTGGTTACAACAGTGATTAAACAGTGATCATTAACAAAAGACACGACAGCTCGAACGTAGGGCGTTCTAAGATACTAAACCATCATGACAGATACAAAATGCTGGTTTTAAACTATCTAAACGCCGCAATTGAATTATTTAAAATTCGTTTCTAACAATTTTTTTACTTCAGTTATTTTTTATCTACAACTGTACATGTATTATATACAATATACAGCAGATTGGATTTCAAATTTATAATTGTGGTATTGCGGGTATTACAGAGAATGTTATACATTCGCAGCCGCTGGGGATTAATAAAATGATATTAATCATTCAAGGGGTCTCGTCCATATTTTTCAGACGTTTACATGGTAATTGTGGGGAGTGGAGTAATGATATTTGTGTTACTGTGATTTACTATGAAAAGGTCCACAATATGTTTTGATTTTTGAAAAAAAAAAAACTGTTGGCATTTGACTGTGTGTGTGTGTTATTGTGTACGTAAAACAAGGCAGAAAGAATCAGTCTTAAAATTTTGGTTTCAAAACTTTCAAATTTTTGAATATTGGAATATTTGGTCGACCCATATGCGTGGCACCCGTACATGCAAGTAGGTTTGAGTAGGTATTGTCGATAGGTTTGATTCTAAGGGGTCACGGATTGTAGGTTGAGGAGGTCATAAACCATTTTAAATAGTTTGTTGAGAGTTTGTTTTTTAATGGTGTGTGTCAATAGTTAACTTTGTCGGTTAGGGGAACAGCTTCATTGTATAAGGTAGGTGGGGAAGTCTCATGACGGAGTGTAAAGGAGGAATACGTTTTGACTTTGAGGGGTTAAACTTTATTTTCGTTAAATTTCTACAGTTTTGAATTGTCGATATGTGGTTTTGTAACGTAAGTGAAGCTTGTGGAGAATAGGGAAAACTTGTATTTCCAACAAATTAAAATGATAAATAGTAGTGCGACCGTATCAGGAGGAGAAATTTTTGTTAAGTATTAGTAGCCAAAGTATTGACTGTAAGCATTACAGCGAAATATCCCACAGATATTTCGATGTCCCAGTAAATGCCAATAAAAACACTGAACAAAAAATAATTCACTAAAATCTGTCACGCGGAAGAATAACAGCACGCACGGGTAGTAAAGGGGCAATCTAATACGATTAAAGATCAAAAAGCTGACAGCAACATTTCAATCTTAGCGATACAGAAAATACGGGAGCGGTACAAATTAGATGTTGAACGCCTCGGCTGTCTATTCAAAATCTGAGACTTCGATTGTATAAATTCACCATGATTCAAGCTCTTAAAATGCTTGTTTAAAGACTGAAATAATACTAAGTGAAAATGAAATAACGATATCTGGAATAAATTAACGATATCTGGATATTACGAATGATTTTATCCGATTATTTAACGCCTTATGAATGGACTCTTTCGCAATAATTATCAATTATTATTAATTTATACTAAACCTTATATTTTGACTAATATTTATACTGCTTTTAAATTGGATTTGATGTGTCATCTGTAATTGATTAACATTTCATTTAAATGGTTAAAATTTCCTGCCAATTTAAATCAATTATGCAGTTGTAAATGGTAAAATCAATTTTAGGCCCCATTAGGCCTAAGTTCTACTATTTTGAATTATTAATATTCTTTTATCCTATCTATCATGACATGTAGGTTATAAATTAAGGGTTGGCCATCAACTTCTTGTTTTCATTTCTTTGTTGTAAAAAGCATGATTAATAAATAACCCCAAGTTTCACAGTATTAAGTTCCTATACCTAGTAATTTCTTCGAGTTTTACCAATCCTAACAGATTTATATTTCATAATAATTAAACATATTTTTAGAACTAAACTGGACGAAACATATTCAATATTATTTCCAATAGCCACTTGCAGGAAACTGTACCAATGGTGGTCAAGTTTAGGCAAGAACAAAAATGAGTGAAAATCTTAAATTAATGGCCCATAAGGACGATAAGAACAGGATTTTTGAATTTGTTTAAAATTTCCAGATAAATCTCGGTAATGATAAAGAATGGGAAAAAGCCCTCCGTAACGAATGGCACCACATGCACCAAGAATGTATGGAAGGGTTTGGCCCGGGAACGAAGTATTTAGAGCCCATGGGAAACTACCCTAGTATCTTTCAAGCCAAAATCCGCACAATTGAAAGATGTAGTCAGCTCAATTTGAATAAAACATGCACAACAAGGAAATAGCTTTCATGTGGAACAGCCAGATTAAATTAAACATTAAACTCAAACGCTATTAGCTCAGGACAAAGCAACTCGTAGACATTTTTCTTGTCTTCTGAAATCCGAAATATCCAAATACCGTTCATTCCAGTTCCAATGCTACTAGGAATTCATACCAACGTAAGGTAATTCCCTATGACTAAAGACTAAGAAAGACCCGAAACAACACCCAGTACCGTCTCCAATGAAACGCCCCAACGATTCTGTGCCAGGTCAACACAGGTGTCAAATCCTTTCGAACACCTCTCAACTATCTTGAGATCCTCACTCTGGTCTGAATGGAATACAGCATTTAGAACTAAATCATCTAATTCCTCAATTCTTCTCTTCCTCTCTCACCGCCCCCCAATCCGAGCCATCCGTCGGACGTTAAATACCAAATTGTCCGCCTCTTTAGAGACTTAAGAAATCCCCAGGAAAGGACCTCATAACTCCCAAAATCCTTACGAACCTATATAGAAAAAGCAATTGTATATATCACAGTCGTTTTCAAAGCCATAATCCGCACAACACACTTCACCATCCAGTGTAAACTTTCTCTCGTAACCCCAATTCCCAAACCAAACAAATCCCCTAGCTCATCGTCATAAAGTCTATAAACCTTCTCTCAATCCTAGCGAAAAATCTTTGACCGCCTACCTACTTTATCCTGAGACTTCAAAAGACATACTGTTTGTTTATAAACATTTACTCATTGGTTTTCGTCTGTTCTGAAAGCTCTTATATCCCACAACACGTCAAGCAAACATAACGGACTTAGAAGTTATCTTCACGAATATTCATGGTTCGCCCACTGGCACGTTTTACTCCAAGAAATATAACATGGAATGTGTTTTTTCAATGAATAATTTTTTAGGCTAGTATGGGTAACTCAAAGTACCCACTGAAAATATAGAACAAAGCCTCCGAGAACTTTAAGCTATGTATACCTAAATATTTGTAAAGAACTAACTCTGGAGTATTGATTTTTAAGGAAAACAATTTTGATGGTTTCTTTTAATCAGATCGTCAAAGGCTATTTAAAATAAAGTGCGAGGCAATGCATTTAAACTCTAACATTTGGCAAGAAAGTATGACTAGGTAGTGCTGCTTTTGTATCTTAAGGTTTCTAGAGAAGTCTACTTTTTGGCGAAATGTACCATATTAGATGAAATAAGACGTTTACACTCGGGTTCCTTTACTGTGACATGAGCAAACTGTACACTCTATACAGCCCCTAAACGAATTTAATTTGCAGTAATACTACGCAATAAAGTACTGACTTATCTCTAAAGTGACCATTTTAAATAATTATATAAAGATTTAAAATTATGTTAGTTACTTTAGTAAACATTTGTTTCTTCATTTTTTAATTATATGTATATTTTTTAATTTATATTTTATTTCTCTTTATTTGTGCCTAAATTTTTCAACAACCTCCGGCAGCTAGATACTATCCATGCAGCAAATACTTACGAAAAAATTATAAATAATAATCTACGATATGTAAGAAAATACATTACTTCTCTGTTTAGAAGGTTGATGATATCACGCCACAATAAATTTAAAGGCACGAAATTTATGTATTTATGTATTTATTTTCACTGCCCGACGAGATTTCTTTCAGTTTCTAAAGATTTTCTTTTCAATAAGAACTCAAGACAGGATACGAGGATTACGTTATAACACTAATGATTTAATTATTTCGTTGAATTAAAAAGAGATATATCTTTTCGTTTTCAATTTAGATTGAAAGTCAAACAATATATAATTTGGATTTCAAGCGGATCTATCACACAAAGGTTGTCGCCAAGTCTTTGTTGAAGGTGAATTAAAGAATCGATCGGGATAAGTCCTGAAATTGTCGCATTCAATAAACGTGAAAGCCTGGGCATCTGAGAAAATTATAAGGAGCAAACGGGAAAAAGAATTGCTATTGTGAATGTTCGAGATATCCGGCTTGTGAGGAATTGAATGCGCAGGTTCGAGACCTTGGTTTCGTAGCCCGGGTGGCTGCCCTCAGATCCCACAGTACCACCGCGAACTCCATCTCGTCAACAGGTCGCTCGTCGGGTCGAACCGCGCCGCGAAATTTGGATCGTGACAAATAAAAAGAGCCAAACCCGTTAGCCTGTAAGCTAACTCGACTCGATGAGTTTCCACCGCTAAAGAATCAATTCAAATAACAAAAGTATAATGTGAATAATATTCTAAACGACCAATTAGGGAAAACAAAATTTTCCAAAGAAAATGAAAATCAAAATTTAAGTGTGTAAAACATGTGAACCGTGCTTATAGTATAGAAATCTTTCTGAGGGTCGCCGGGCGAGGAGAGAAGAATGGCAGCAGGTTGGTATCCGCAGTCTGCAGTACTCCTTGAGTTATTACCTAGCGGCGCGGGGGGCACGAGATCCTCCACCCCAAACATGACCGTCTTGATTAAACCGATATATTTATTTACAACGAGGGTCAGCCTCCCTCAAATCCAAATTTATACCGGTCAAGTGAATTCGAACTAGTCGATTTCATGAAATTTCAACTAGGACGTTAACGGACGACGGATTTATGGCCTGCGGGCATGTGCGATGAACCAGTAAGAATGTGATTATGATGGGAGAAATACAGGGACGAGCTAATTAACAATGGTATATCGCGATGTGGGGGTTGATTACATGAATGTTAAATATACCAAACACCGGCATCCTTATTTTTTTTTTAACAATCGTCCTGTCAATACAGACACATTACAAAGAAAAAACCTAAATTTCTGTTTGTATTAATAACGAACGACAACAATAACCACATCTCTTTACTTATTTATGGATTAATCATACCACTAGTAGTAAAAGCAATAAAATTCATAAAATCGACTTAAATTAATTTCAACCAATATCATACAATGTTAAAAAATCAACTATTTTCTAATGAACGGCTTTACTGTTATTAGGATTCTGATTTTCACCGAAAAAATCGTTAAAATTAACCTTTTCTTCTTCTCAAATGAGCAAGTAAGAATTATTAATTATGTCCTAGCAAGTATGATCAGCTTTCAATATTAAAAAAGGAAAAAGCAAATTTAAAAGAAACACTTAGTTTCTTCGTCAGTCTCTTATTAAAAGTGTTACCTCTTCATTAGGACATGGTAACTATTATTAATAATGTCATTTAATTTATGTATTTCTGAAGTAGAATGGACGAGTTTTTGGTCTTGTTAACGGTAATTCTTAATTTTACTATGGTTGAAACCGTAAGTTTTATGTTTATTGTTGTTAACCTTGTAAATTATTGATAATTTAATTAGCTTGGATCTTAGATTGGTATTTTATTATTTAAAACTCTTTTCAGTTGTTTTAATTTTTTTAATTGTTTGAATGATAGTCTTGATAAAGAGGGTATACTCGAAAGTTCGACGAAGGAATTAAACGTTTTATTTCAGATAGGTCACATCTATAATTTTTAATATAAAACTATAAAAATTTATAACAGTAGGAAGCATGATTAAAGAAATCCAAATCTAGCATGAATTTTCGATCTTTTTTTACATAAAGCATCTATTTATTTTTAATTCTCTTTAAAAAGAATAACTTATACATTCTAAGTTTTAACCAATCTGTCAATAAAAAGTTGTAAATCATTTATTCAAAGCGAATATAAGGAACTGTTGATCTGAATTATGTTTGATAATTAAATTAACCTATTGGCCAATAATGGGAAAAAACACGAAATTGTATTATAGGCATTGATTTCTTTTAGTTTGCTTCCTCGTTCAGTTATTGTATACGAGGGTGGAAGGGGCTTAGCCAGGGTTGACGTGGGTTGTTAACAATAGGTCCGCCAATTCTCGCTTTTACTTAACGGATTAAAGCCTTGTTCATTTAAAGTTGGTCTTTTATTCCAGGGAGCATTATAGATAAGAAAACCTTGAAACTTTCATTTGCAAAAACATCTTTTCGTTCTAATATAAAATTTAAAGAGGCAACCAAACGTCAGTAAGGTGGCCGAAAGAATAGAAACGGAAAGGGTCCTTTAAAGAAGAAACCGGAAGCCGGAAAAAGTCCCCTAAACGGGGAAAAGTGCCAAAAAGGTCATGGAACCCACTGGCGAAACTCTTGAGTTAAAGGCGAAAAAACACCAATTTACTTTTGTCCCTTTTGTTTAAAGCAAGCGGCTGTGCAATATTGGCTACATCCTCGCAATATTTTGCTAATTTAATAAAGACTTTTGTCACAAAACGCTCAGGAAATGTTGGGATTTTATAGAAAATATTAATTTAGATAATACGAGTTTTTTATTACATCCGTGGCGGTATTACACATGACTGCTAGTGCAATCCGTGTGATCATTAAATCAACCACAGTGTTTTATATACTAAACATGTTTCTATTAAATATTTCCTATAATCTCATTTATAGATTACTTTTGATATGCCCATAAACAATAAAGACAGGTTCAATAATAAATATTTTTACAAAAAGACAAAAAAATATTTATAATTTTCTAAAGAAACCAAGACATTAAAACTTAATTCATCCCGTAGGCTCGGTTTCTGGATTCGGAACACCTTAATTCTCTTGTAGCGACAATAAAAAAACAAAAACAGAAAGTTAGGAAGGCCATTGGGGAACAAAAGTATGAATTTATTGCTCAAACAAGAGGGGTACTCGAGGATAGGCTGGAAGGGCGAAGGCAAACCTAATTCCAAGGGTCAGAAAAGATTTGTTTTTTGTAAATTTGCCAAAGTTTCAATTTAGCTCGGAGTATAAATTTTTTTTGTGAATTTCCAATGGATAAATAAACTAACTCTTAAGACCACTACTACCACCAATAATATTATATTTGATAAACAATTAATCCCCTAATGAAACAGAACAGCCTTATTTTTCGGCCAATTTGCCATTTCAGATGTTCCAAAGTCTGCTCAGTCGTGAAGCGTATCTGATATCCGGCACTATTCGGCTTCACTATTATGTTACATAAATGATTAAAGTTTATCAACTAAATCTCCTATTTCAGCAATAAAACTATTCGGTTATTCTATTTTTAATGGCAACGGTGAGCGGGATTTTCCTTTTTCAACCTTGTAAGCCGAAGGATTATAAGAGAAGGTTTGCCCGATAAAAATTTCAACGAACGGAAAACCAAGATCTGCAGAGATTGGAACAACGATGAACGTATTTCGATCCCACCGGTAGCAATTAATTTTTAAAGCTCTTTCAAAACTCCCACTAAAAAAAAGCGAATCAGCCGCAAGGCACAATACCAACAAGTTTTACATCCTACAGTTAGACAGGAAATATGGAAAAGTAAGCTCGCGTATTTTATCCGATTAGATGGACGACTTTGAAAAGTTTCACCATGAAAAATGAGAATCATAAATACTACTCAAAAGTATAAAAAAACAAATAAATAACACAAATTTAATTTTCTTTGCCTTTCTCTAAATTGCTCTCTAAATCTCTTGTAACGATACCGCTTTTAAATATTAAATCTCCTTGGTCCGTTTTGTTTGGTTATGATTTTTAAATATGATTCAGTTTATATTTTATGGTGGTCAGCAGAATTATAAATCAATAAAAAAAACCCATTGTCAACTCAAAGATTGGGACGTACAAAAGAACACACCGTCACGATAAGTAGGGTTTATAAATGAGGAAAACTCAGTAGGAAATCCGGTGACCTACTGAAAAGCTTTCATATTAACCACAACAAACGCGAGAGAATTCGGATGTGCTCCATGTAGCACAGAGAAATTAAATTTCTCATTCAGAAAAATCCTGGTTATTCACTAGTTGGAAAATAACCCAGACAAATGAAAAAGACATCTATTTTTGTTTTGAGGAAATCCGCCTAGTCAAGGATCATTTTTCTTACAAGATAAGTGCCGGTGAATAAAAAGTAGATTCTCTTTGAAATAATATTTAACATATCATTCGGAGATCGTGAGATGCGGTCTGGTGTGAGATAAATTTTAGAAAACGTTTTTCAAAAACCTACGTCACACCAGACCGCATCTCACGATCTCCGATCATTAACAAGCGGTCACTAAACACCACATATTTAACACATCGTTTTTGTTGTGAACGGAGTTGAATTTTTCAGTTTATAAATGTAATATATATAATACATATTTCAAAATTTATCTAAATATAATGTAGTGTAAACTACGACGGTGAACCGGCACGGGGTCACATACTGGGTGTGTCAGCACTCGCCTGTTTTTGAATTATTCAAACGGGTGTGGGCATTGCGCCATCTTCAGTGAGGGGCTGTCCTGAGTGAAGACACACCCAATAAGTGATCCTACGCTCATTTTCAGTATGAGTTCACCGACTTGCCACGGACAACAATTCCAGCGTAGGAGTACATGGATCAAACCTTACAATCCTTATAAAAGGACATACATACTAAAACGTTTGAGTTTTTGTTGATTTCATCCTTATTTTTCTCACTTTCAGTGATATACAATCTAAAGTTTATTTACTTACTCTGAGAGAAAAGAAATTCAGGTTTCCAACAGTTGTAGCAATGTTGCAGTTGGATACAATCCAGAAAGTTTTGAATTTTTAAGTGGAACACCGGATAATGGAGAGATAAAAAAATGGCACAGGGTGTCCAGCATAAAAAAAATATTTTAAAGAGTGCTTACAACGGATCCCAATTGTTTAACAAAAAATGGGTCAACTTTACTGGGAGTGTCTTTTTATTTTTTAACATATTATATATACTGGCACTCTCAACACGACACGCAAGGATGGCACAATTACACAGAAGACAAACACTTTGAGCCCTGAAGATGATCTCAATAAAAGATCGAAACGTTGGCACGATAAAGAAAATGTTTTTCTGAAACGTACATCACACCCGACCGCATCTCACGACATCTGAATAACTATCGNATATATATATAACAAAGGCAGACAACCCGTTTTGAACAATTAGATTAATTATATTCTCAGATCCTAGGGTTCATTGGCAAAAAGGCTCGGACACGCACCAATCACTTTTTACCGCAGTATCAAGACAAACTCTTTTTTTTTAATGCTTGGACAACAAAAATAGTTACAATCGATCTGCCATACTGAAGCGAACATTCAACGTACCTAAGAACGTTTCTGTCATTGTATAATTTTTGAATCAAGCTGTTAGTTCTTTATACTACTCATGTAAATAAATAAAAGCTTCTTTTTGATTTGTTTATTTTTTCGTGGAGGCACGGATACAGGCTGATGTTGATATGGACGAAAAAATAGGTTCAATCAATAATATTATCAAAATAAAAACGGACAGCATTATCCGAGCACGAGCACTGGTTTTAATTAAATGACTTTTGAGGTACCCAAAAATATTAC